AATTTAATGAAAAATAATAACTCCTTTGTAAGCTTAAATCTCTGTGCAATGCTCATGGCATAGATGAAAAAATATTAATTAATAGCTATGTAACGACTCATAATGTTGATGTATCATAACAGCCTGCGTTGTTGAATCTGGGAAATTATAAGAATCTGGGAAATTTGCTAAACTTCATAGAGCTTGTATGATTTGGAGTCAAGATTTTTAATGTAGACCTTTGTCTTTAAAGCCTATATTATCTATTACTACATAATGATGTTTTCAAAACTAGTGGCTTTAAACAATAAAGACCTATAATTCCATAGGTGCTTTCAGTCAAGCTCCATACCCAGAGAGGCTCGTCCTTCACTACTCGGTCTGCTAGGACTGTGTTGGAAGAGCTGTCAGCAACATAGTATTAAGGAAACATTAAGGAAGCATCTAAGCTTATTTGGATCACTGGAAACTACTTATTCTTTATGGTTATAGCTGTATATTCTTCAGTGACTTGATTGCAATCAGTTGCAGGCCACGTATAGTTCCTAAGAGCTCCACACAGCTCCTGGCCCTCTGTGTGTTCCAATGTGCATAAGATGCTCTATCAAAGTCATCAGAGAAAGAGAGAAACTCACTGAGGGAGTCACTCAAAGCTCATGTAGCATATGCTCTGTAAACACCTCCATGGGAACGTATCTTCCCATCACTTCCTCACCTTTTTCCTGTTACAGGCAGGTGACAGCTTCTAGCCAAACAAGGGCACCACAATTACAGAAAGCAAGAGATAGGCCTCACAGTGGCCACTGAAGAGATTGCCCAGTTTAAAGATGCTTCAGCTCCTCTGAACGTAGCGCTGACTTTATGCTACACACTCCTTGCTGTAGCAAGAGGAGGCAGCACTGCTGCTCAATGGACTCAGCTCCATGGGGTTCGTTCTCATTCCTCACTGCCATGCTGATTTCAACTACTGAACCATCCTCAATGCTCACTGGCTTTCGGGGGTGATTCTCTATTTCTAAACTTTTGTACATGGAATTTTACAAAATGCTTGACCCATTATCTATTAAGTAACATAAAGTAAAAATAAGTATGAAATGTATTATTCCCTAAAAATATGTACATTTTAGTGAAGTATTACATTTTGCCATGATTTTTGCTCTTTTATGTTACATAAATGATTAAAATTTCAGAAAAAGCATAATTTTGCAAAACATTATGCTTCCATATATGAGTTTTCATTTAGCCACTTTTTAATGGGGAGGCATCATTATTCATCTTTAGAAAGAATGGCAGGCTGCTAACAGCCTCCTAATATTTAAATCACAATTCAACTAAAATATATATTAAAACTTTTTAATGAAGTTGCTAGAAACAGGACTACTTCCTTCCACAAGACTTTGTGTTATGTAGATAGGCTAAGTACAAGTTCCTAACTGGCCTATAGAACTTGTCTCTAAACCAAGAATGAGAAAAGCAGATGAAAGACGATTTCTGCGAGCATCCCAGAAAGATGTAGGACAAAAGGTTCGTGCACAAGAAGAGTCTTGTTTCAGTCTGAGGACCTTGAAATCCACTCCCTGTTTCTTTTTGTTTTTCTTGTAGAATAACATGCAAGAGAAAGCAAAAGATGCTGTGAGTTTGCAGTGTACCATTTTTCCAAGGAATAAAACTGGGAAAATATTACTGGGGAAGCTGAAGGAATTCATAGTGGCTGGAGACCTTTGGGTAATTAATTGACCGTGGCATCATCTGAGAGGCTCTATGCAATGTATATATCAGAGTTTGGAATGAGCCCAGTCACTCCATTATTTCCTCTCTGTACAATATACCTTTTAAGCTTCATAAAATTAGGTTAATTAGAAACACAAAGGTCCTCCCCTCCATGCTGAGGTTTCCTTGGTATTTTTAGAGAGTGGTCCATTTACTTAAGAAAATACAATGACTTGCAAATGAACAGAAGATATCTGATTGTGAGCCATACTTCTAAACGCACTGTCTCTGTATTACATATATGCGTGTATATTATGTCTCCCTGTCCCAAACATCTCTTGTCACCAAAGGAAGCCTCCACTTCTGGAATGAGTTCCATCTAACAGAGATGCTGATCAAAGGGGTCCTATGGCAATCCTTAAACAATCCAGGCTATTGCCAAAGCTTTTGGTTTCTTTCCACAAACAGATAAGAAGGCCCTGTTGCTAAAGTCAAAACCTCCATGATTCATTGAGCATGGAGGAGCTGAGCTGGTACCTACCTAGAGCCTTCATCCCTACTGATTAATGGTCATTGTACTTTGCACGCTACCATAGGAGAAATCTACAATGGTGAGCCACCTGCAAGATAGGCGGGTGCAATGGCAGAGTAACCAACCAATATCTTATAGGATTTAAGGACCACACCATGCAATGGAGTCCATCCCTAATGCTGCTTGGGTAGCCCAGTACCTGAGACTGAATAGGCCAGGGACCTAGGGGAAAACCAAATACTATTGGTGTGTTAAAGGAATGTAGTGATTAAGTGACTCCTAATGACATTCTGCTATACTCACCAGTGTCCTGCTCAGCCATCTTTAGAAAACCTTCCTCCTACAGGAGATGGGAACAGATACAGAGACCCTCAGCAGGATAACATGCAGGAAATGAAAGACCTTGGAAGACTCCATCCAAAATGGGTTGTCTCTATCCAATCCCTCCTCTCAGGGCTCAGGGGACCCTGCAGAGGAGGAGATAGAAACCATGTAACAGCTGGAGGGGACGAATACTATCAAGGAAATAAGATATTCTAAACACAGCAGGGCTCATAGAGACTGTAGCAGCATGCACTGGACCTGCAAGGCTCTGAGTCAGATGGGGTTGCAGCGACGAGAGTGGAAGTGAACACATGCTCCCATAATTGCCCCAGAAGCTGTCTCCAAAGGATAACCACTTGCAAATGAAAAATTAGTTTGCTTTGGTAGAGTCTCACTGGGTTTACAAAACACTCTTAAAGGCAGGTCCCATGTTAAGTAACAGATGGCCAACACAAAATGAACTCAATAGCACTTTTGGAAAATTTTTTGTTTCATAATGCTTTGTAAGGACTTTGTTGTTGCTGCTGCGGCTGCTGAGCATTCTGGTCTTTGGAGTATGTATTATCGTTTCCAGTTTTGTTTTTATGGTGTTCCCGTATGTGTGACCATATATGTGTCCGCTTCTGCTTGTGTTTCTTGAGCTTTCTTTTTGGCCCTTTTCCTTCTGTTTGCTTGCATAGTCCTATTCGAGTTTGTTTGTTTGTTTGTTTTTGTTGTATTTTAGTCTAGTATTGTTCTTACATGCCTGTCTGTTTCCTAGGGAGAGAGAGAATGGTTTGAGTTTGGATGAGAAGAGGTCATGTGAGGAGGTTCTGGGAAGAGTTAGGCGAGAGAAAACTATAATTCAGAATGTATTGTTTAAAATCTATTTTAAATCATAGAAAAAATGCTATGTATAAAAAATAAGTTAACAAAAAAAACCCTGAATTGGCAATGGTAAAGACAAAAAGAAAAGAATGCCATTCTGTCCTCAAGATTTTGTCTCGTACATTTAATTATGTTAGCAAACATTCTATCCTTTTAAGGGTGGTTGAGAGAAAGAATAAATGGATATTTGTCTTTAAGAAAAAAAACAAACTAAATACATCTGTTAAAAGACAAAAGACCAGCACCTGCTTTTCAAAGCAGAAGCACACAGTACAGTGTTTGAGGCCGGAAGAGACAGCTGGCCATTCTTCTCAGTGTGTGAGAGCTTCTTTCAGGCTTATTTCAGCTCTTCTTGGTGTGTAGATGCAAAAGCAGAAATGTACTTCAATGATAAACATGCGGTTTAGGGTAGAAATTCCTGTCTGGTTATCGTGACAATTCTACAGAAGACACAAAAAGAAACTAACATCTAGAATTTAGGAAGGTGTGAAGAATACAGGCTTTAACAAAACCCGTTCACTTACAAAGAAAGGCCATTCCTTTCAGGGTTTCCTAGGCAGATAAAACATTTAACTAGGTGACTGATAAATCTGACATTTTATTTCTCAAGCCCAGGTTCATATTTGCGAGTTACGTAAGATGTGTGTTCTGTCCTAAGGCGAGGACAGGCAATATCTGAATATTTCCATTGTCTTCTAGTGTTTAGAAGAGCTCATCTTTATTTTCACATATTTTTTCTATATGCTGTTCCTGCAATGCAATAGCTCAGATAGTGACCACTCTGAGCCATCATCCACTCTTGATTGGCAGGGAGGTCATTACTGTGTGGGGAAAAACAAACTTGATTTGTATCACCGCTGTTCGCTTTCAATCTGTAAAGTACATGAGGCCTTTTTCAGAGAAGAAATGTTAGAAGCACACCCTCGTTTCCATATCTATTCAAGAACTGCCTTTTAAAAAGGAGATGGAGAAACCAAGCCTTAAAATATAAAATCATGAGAGTCTGCCACTACAGTTGAGCGCTCCAGACCTATCTTAGAGATGAGTGGCTACCGCTGTGTGTCAACGAGGTAGCATTAAGATTTGTGCTTCATGAATCTGCTCTGACATGTAAGAACAAGATGCACCTCTCACTGTGGGAAATCTTGCTGCTCTTTTAGCATCTCCCCCGCTTCCTCCTCTCTCATTTTCAAGATCTCTCTTTTCATATCAGAAGTCTCACGGAGTGGAATTTGTATCCTGTTCTGCTGTTACGGTTCTTCCTTTGTTCAGGATAAAAAATTCAGTGATAAATCCTCAGAGAAATGATGGACGGGGACGGGGGAGATTCAGTGCTGCTAAAGAGAAACAAGGTGGTACTTGGCAAGGGTCTGAAATCCTCCCCACCCCCTGCCAGCATCTTCCCCAAACACTACTGACAAATAACATAATGAAGACAGATATTTGCAGCTTGGTGATGCTCGGTGCGATATTGAATGTGTTCTGCCTTGGCAGAAACGTGTGAGGCGGTAGGGTTTAAAAGCGTAATCCTTGCTAAAGAAGGCTTTTGAGTAAAGCGTGGTTGTAAATAGCTGTGTTTGGTTTGCAGGTACAATTCTGGTGGACAACATGCTGATTAAGGGGACTGCTGGAGGACCAGACCCCACCATAGAGCTCTCTTTAAAGGACAACGTGGACTACTGGGTGTTGTTGGACCCTGTTAAACAGATGCTTTTCCTGAACAGTACCGGAAGAGTTCTGGACAGAGACGTCAGTGGCTTTATTTTTTACCTCTGTCCCTGTGCTATAGCTTTAGTATCGTTTAAATGTCTACATGCACTATCTATATAATAGCAAATGTTATTCATATAATTAGATTTTGTTTACTAGACATAGGAGCAACAGAAAATATAACTCCTTGGAATAAGAATGAGAAGGGAAGGAGGCATCTGTGTCTGAGGGAACCAGTTTAATACTCAAGAATTTTGTCCTAGTTCACCATAAAAGAACAGGCTACAAAGAACAAAGAGGTAGTGACGACTTTGACCCAGAAGGTCGATCACATAGATCCCAAATCTTTTTCCCCACAATGTGAAAGTGAGGGTGCTCTTTGGCTTTTGACTTGGGACAGCGGTAGAAGTGAGTGTGTGCATCTCCTCTAGATGCTAGCACAGTTAGAATTGGAAGGAGGAGGCTGGACATTTGTTTATATGACTGCTAAAAACCAAAGGCAAACCAGAGTCCTGGCAGCATTCTTATTCGGCCATTATCAGACAGGGCGGGCAGAAGCATTTCATAAAGAATGGCTACACTACTAAAGTTGTCCAATCCATCATTTCTGAAAGAATAGACATAGTATTGAAAAGATCGGTGTCCCATCTCAACAACAAGTATCCCCTCCCTTTCTTGAGGACAAAGAAGGAAGGGGAGCACACAGGACCCTGGGGAAACTGAAGCAGTGTAGAGAAGCGTTCCCACCTCAGAGTACAAAATTCCAAGCTCTGAGGCTGCAGAGCTAAGGCAGAGCTGTTGGCCGTTGCTCTGTAGTTTCACAACCCCATATCCCAGCAGGATATTGAGTACATGACCCCTTCATCCGACATGGATCTCCCACGCAGTCTGTAATAGCTCTCTCTACTTGCCGTTAACTAGGTTCACTATTTGCTGTAGGATCTTTGGCTCTTGGATTCTTGGGAATTACCCCCTTGCCTGAGCCACAGCTTTTAGGGCTGCATTTATCACAGTGGAAGTCTTTCTGTCTACAGTCTGACTACACACCCACCTGTGCTAAGTCGTTCACAAAGCCCTACTGACAGGCAGTTAGTGGAATCCATCAGGGCTTCCATTCCATTACTAGATATAAACTGATGTGCATCACTGTGGAATTTTCAAACTTCCTTAGCATTATTTATCTCTCCCTCCTTGCTCTTCCCCAGTTAAACTCCATTCCCATATTCTCTCTTTCCCTATTCATAGCCCCTGATTCCTTCGACATTCCCTGTCATCAACATCTATCCCCCCCTCTCCGCTCAGAACCTCCTTCTCCCCTCTAACATTTTCTACTTTCCTGGCTTCTGAGATGTCTTCATGTTATAGATGCACATTTAAAGATACAGAGCTAAGATCCACACTTAAGAGAGACCATGCGGTCTTTGTTTGTCTGAGTCTGGGTTGTTTTACTGTATAATATTTTCCACCTATTTTCCTGCAAACTTCATGCTTTCACTTTCGCTACAATGTAATAGACTTCAATCTTGTAATATATACCAGTTTCTTTATCCATTTCTGTCAACGGCATCTGCAGCCTTCGTTTTCTAACCATTGTGAATACAGCAAGTACCTCTCTGTACTAGGATTCAACATCCTATAAGCTGATATGACTTGGCCAAGCAGGAGTTGATGGCTCATGCCATAGATCTCTATTTATTGAAACCACACACACACACACACACACACACACACACACACACACACACACACACATTTCTGTAGTAGCTGTACCAGTTTGCACTCCCATCAGCAGTGAATGAGACTCTCCTTTCCCTGTACACTCACAGGCATTTATTGTCACTTATCTTGTTGATCTGAGCCGTTTTGACTGGCATAAGATGACATTGCAATTAATGTACATTTCCCTAATTGCTAAAGATGCTGAAACTCCTTCAGATATCCCTCAACAATTTCTATTTCTCCCTGTTAAAATTATCTATTGATATCTGTAGTGTGATTTTTAAAACTAGGCTATTTGTTCTCTTGAAATTAGTTCTTTAAAATTAACCTTCCATCACATGAATAGATGCATTTTCTGGGTTTCTTCGCTTGTTTGATTTTTTGTTCTATTTCTCTCTTTATAAATGACATTATTTTTCAGTTTGTAACTTTATTTCCTGAAGGGGGAAAAAAAAAACAATGGAGCCCTATTTGGAAAGTCCTTTTTCTATTCCTATACCTTCCAGGATAGTGCATATATTTTTTTCCGGAAGCGTTAGCATGTCAAGTTTCCCAGTGGGGGTCTTTAATCTGTTTGAAAGTGATGTTTGTGTCAGTGAATGATATGGGTTTAATATCATTCTTCTACAACTGGACTTCCAGTTTTTCCCAGCATGAACTGGTTAAAGATGCTGTCTTTCCTACAGTGTGTATGTTTGAAATCTCTGTCCAACATGAGCTGTCTGTAGTTAAGGAAATTCATGTTTTGGTCTTCCATTTTTTTTATTACATTGTTTCACATTTTTGTTTTTGTGATGGGACCATGTTGTATTTACCACTGTAATTTTGTAAGATAGCTTGTCATCTGGTGTGGTAATCGTTCCAGGATCATTCTTTCTGCCCGGGATTGCGTAGTTCTCTGGGGTCTTTTGTTCTTCCACATGAACTCTAAAATATTTCCCTATTTCCTTGAAGAAGGTTGTATGTATTGATTTTGATCACATTGAGTCTTTAAATTCGTTTTGGTAGGAAGATCATATTTTCACAACATTCTACCAACCCATGAGCATGGGCAGTCTACTCTTCTTCCTCAATCTCTGTATTCAGAGACTTACGTTTTATCATAGAGGCTTTACACCTCATTAGTTATATTTACTCATAGATTATATTTTTAAAGCTATTATTAGATGAAAGAGTTCCCATGAACCCTTTTTCCCAGAATGTTTGGTATTGACATATAAAAAGGCTACAGATTTTTTGTAAGTTGATGTATCATGATGATACGGCTTCTCTAGAAGTTTTGTGGTAGAAGGTTTGGGATTTCATATCTAATAGCAGCAGCAGCAAATAGGATGAGGTAACTGGGAATCAGTAAGGATTCACACATGCAGCCATGTGGCTTCTGTCTGGGCCTGGACTGTGGGTGGGTGGCCAAGGGTTAGGGTCCTTCTTCAGACAAGGCAAGAAAGAATGTGACTATGGTCCCCTCATGGGTCTGAAGTGGCAGTGTAGGGTGAAGGTCTTAGGTCAGACTAACCAGTGGCTATTCTTAACCTTATTCCTTGCTGTCAGTTTCTACTAAAAAGCTGTAACACTCATTTGAACAAAGTTTGAGTACCTGTTTATCACATTGAGATGACATTTAATATGATAATGTACAGTATATGTGAATATAGATACACATATATTAAATTTTAATTAATTTAGAATATATCCTTTTCTAAACTGTAAATACTGATAAAGCACACACATTATAAAGGAAGTAGTTATTGTGAATGAAAGCCAAACTATGCTTTCCTGTTAAACATGGAGTATTTTCAAAAATGTAATTCTTGTGGTTGTTACCAAATAATTTGGTTCATTCATATTATGAATATAATGAACGATAATAAACCATATGAATGCTTTTTACAGCCAGACAGACCTGATAATCATGTTAGAGTCGAGAAACAACTGCCAAGCTCCATGCTACAAACATTGGCTTTGCATTCATTCCAAACATTAAAGAAAAAAAGCTGCTACAGATATGTTTTAGAGGACACAAATCTCCTGTATTTTAGGCATACCATAATGCTTTTGTAAGATTTAAAAAAATCAATATTTTGGCCAATAAAGCAGAAAAATAACATCAAATGAAAACAAGGAGATACAGGTGAGAATTAACAATAGTGACTATTAAGATCATGATGCTTTTAGGAAACTGTTGTATTTCCAGAAGAAGCCCATCTGGTCCTGGTCCCAGTGACTTTGTGTATCTCCTGTATTTCTCGGTCTGGGCCCCTGTGATACTGTCTGTCTTTGTCAACGCATCCTTTACCCTCTTCCCCTCAGATCAGGGTCTTCTCTGCCTTTGTATTCTTTACTGTCATGTGTTATTCTAGCTTTGATGCCCCTGCCTCCCAGTTCCACAGTAACAGTTTCCCTTGCCATTCTTGTATATTTAACTATACACCTTTGTGAATTTTAGTGTGATATTTCAATACATGCATACAATTTCTAATGTCAAGTCCAAGTAAGAAACACACACATACACACACACACACACACACACACACACACACACACACACTAACCTACTCATAGGAAGAACAATGCTTAACTTGTGGTCCTGTATACCAGCTTCCTGTTGCCAGTCGCCACCCCAACACCACCACCCTTCTCTTCAATTGGTAATTGCTATCATAAATTTCAACCTACTATACCTATGATGCTCATATCTGAGAGGGCACGAGTACTCCTGTTCACCTATCTAATTTGATTTTCATCACCATAAAGTCTTTTAAGGCCTTCAGTTTTGCTGTGTGACAGAGTGTCATTTCCTTCCATATCTAAGGAAAGTTTCTGTTGTGCATATGCACCACATTTTCTCTATCCACTGCTCTCTAATAGACATCAAGAGGAAATCTACTGTCTGAATACTGAGTGTGATTCCACAGCAGGCATAGACACATGGGCTTCTCTTTGATATGTTGAGGCCATCTTTCCTCTGATAAGTATCCAGAAGGGGGATAGCTGTGTCTTCTGCTAGATCCAGGCTCCCAGAAGCGCCACACTTTTTCCACACTGTGTTATATTTGTCTCCCCAGCAAAAGGGTGTGAGCAGTACCTCTTCAATTCTCAGTAGCACTTGCTACCTTTCCTATTCTTCATGAGAGGCATTCTAACTGGGGGAAGCTTCAGTGAGGCTTTGATGTGCATTTCCATAATAACTAAACTGATGAAATTTAACACTTTTTCAAAACTTTTTTTGTCATTTAAACTTTCTTCTGAGATGTGTCTATTCACAATTTTTGCATACTTCTGGTTGAGTTTTTTGGACTTTTGTCATATTGAATCTTTTG